GACTTTATTATCAAAAATAAAAATTATTTTTGAGAACATCTGTTTTTTGGGTTGGCAAGGGGATCAGCAGAAAGAGTTTATCATTATTGTTATTATTATTATTTTGTTATTATTATGAATATATGAATATTTTTATTGTAAAAATTGATTATAAATAGATTTAAGCAGGTTTTGTTTTTTAATTAAGAAGTAAAAGAATTTGATTAATTGTTAAATATATATAGATCTTTTGATAAAATAGAATTAGATATGACTTTTTGAATAGTTAAAAAAAATTTAAAAAAAAATAAATTTATAAAAATTATATTAAGACAAACATTAGATCCAATAACTTTGTTTGAATATATTGTTAAAAATATGTTTGTAATATAAAAAGAAAAAGACAAAAGAGAAAAATAATTATAATAGTTATATATAAAGAAGAAGATATTTAAAGATAAAGTTATAAAAAAAGATTGCCACAAACCTTTCCCTATATAAACAAAAATTTAAAAAGCCTTTCAATTTGCTTTGATTTTAATTAAAGTTTTTATTTCAATATAATAATGTTTCTTAAAGTTTTTATATTCTTGAGTATAAAGCTTATTTGTTTTAGAAAAGTAGGAATAAAAAAGTGTTTCTTGAAAGAAAATTTCTAAAAAAAGAAATTTTTAAAAAATTAGCAGTAAATGTATAAGTTTTTTTTTAAAAAAAATTAAATTTAGATTATTATTTAATAGTTATTAATCTAAAAATATAAAAATTAAATACAGTCAACCTTCCATAAAAGAACCCTCCATAAAGGAACAATCTTTTATAAAGAATATTATTTTATGGGACCAATGTAATTATTAGTAAATTTCTTTTTATAAAAGAACATTCTATAAAGGAACAAGAACATATTTCTGAAGAACGTTTATATTACATATACCTTTATATAAGAACATTGCATGCTGATTGGTTAGTGTAATCAGATGGTTAAGACACATGTCATATAACCAATTTTAACCAACCCTTCAGGTCAGTCAAGCCACCTGAATCTTCCTTTAATAGTTTAAAATTTCGATCTGTTTCTTTAGTATTCTAAAAGTTTCTATCTAAATGCTATCAAATATGACATTTGGCAAAGACAGGATACTGATGAAGTAAATCTTTATTATTTGTTATATATTAAATATTCTCGAGACGAGAATGAAAGCACCTGGTTTCAAGAATTGGAAAAGTTAAAGAAAGAGATTAAAGATGTGCGAATTATCGAGGAAGACTGGTTCAAAGGAGTCTGATAAATAATCATTATATTATATGCTCATGTTTCTCATATTCTTTATTTATTGAAGTGTGGTATCCTCTTATGTTGTTTACTATTTTTCACATTTTCGGTTGCTGGATAATTAGTCAGAGAACAGTTGGTTCAATACTCCCAAAAAACAACATAATCCCAAAATAAGATACATCTGGAAATAATCAAATATATGAATGCATATAGGTCTTCCTTTTTTTTATTTCCTTAAATAAAGATTATCAATATTTATGGGTTTTTTGATCAAATATGTATTTAAAGTAAACGTGTAACTGCAAATCAACCGGAGACATCGGACGTCTAACAAACAGTTTCTCTACGACTCGTTCGGTTCTGTCGAGTCATCATGTTAATAATCTATCAACCTTTATCCGAGGAGATCAATGAAATAAGAAAAGCAAGAAAAAAGGCACTTAAAAAAAAGTTGGCAAAAACTTTTTTACCAAAATCAAACTCTTTGTCATTACCAGACAACCTTGAGAATTCCATGAACGATTATTCAGCTCAAAGCTTGATCTCGACAATGGAGGCTCCACCTCTCGACATTTCTCGTGTCATGCTGGACGAAATAAAATTGGTGGCAAGATATGCTGAACCCGAAGTACTTTCAGATGAACAAAATCAATGGAAATACCAAATCCGAAGCGGAGCCAAAGATCCAAAGAAGAACTTTGCCAAGATTAGCGTATTATTCTCAAGCAAAACTGGAATCTTCAAAGCATCTTAGTGATGATGAGAGTGAACACGAAAACATCAAGAAAGAAGTACTGAGCTTGAAACAAAAATTTGATCAGACGGAAGAAAAATACCTGAATTATAGTGGAAGTAACAAGAGACGTGTGGTTTGGGCAGGCATCGGTGCAGGTGTTGCAGCGGTTAAACAGTATGGGTATTGGTGTGTCCAACATAGCAAGCAGTATCGGGAATCTGACTAACACAGTCAACTCCTGTAACAAAACTTGTTGATGATAAACGCTAGCTGTGATACGATTCTGATAAGGTGAAAACTTTTCAAGTTCCATTGCAAACAGTTAGCAAATGGTTTTAGTGATCTAATGAGCAAGGGTCTGGTTTTTTAGTGACCTGTTGAACAAGATCTTTATTTTGTAAAATTTAGGTGAAACAATGCGATCTCTCTCAATCATCACCATTTATTCAATGAATGGTGTTCGGTTTGTTCATTTTCATTGCTTTGCTTTAATTTTAAAATTTTCTATACACATTTTTGTATATTTCATAGCATGATATTATCCAAATTATTATTAAATTTTTTGGGAGGGTTTACTTTTTTCTTTCTGGTCAAACCCCACTCAACGACACAATGCTTTTGTCATTGAATTTTGTATATAAAATCCAAAGAAAATATTAAATAAAGGACAGAGAATTCGTTCATTCAAGTCAAATATGTCTCTTTTGAGTTTTTATTGATAAACAAAAGTAACAGTTGTGCGAATTCTGTTTCCAGCTAGTGACAGAACAACACCACCTGCAGAGACACAAAGATCACATGATATGACTTCGATCAGTCTGTATCGAAACGCAATTAAATAAAAAAGGAAAAGGAAACAAATACTTATGTGCCAAAAAAAGCCAAAATTCAGATGTCATCAACAGCTTATCACCAGTTACATCAAAAGTTACTACAATCCATTCGGACAGGTAATTCTATGGGGAAAACAGAGGACCATTAAAAGAAAACTTGTATCAATAACACCTGTGACAAGAAAAATAAGTTTAAGAGATGTCCGAACTTTGAGATAGCAGCAACGGAAGGTGTAGAAAAAGGACCATCAATCTGAAACCACGTATCCAATAATAATTACGCCTATATCAATGCGTGTATATAAATCAAAATCTGAATGGCACCAATGATATGTTATCCGCCGCATTCAAATCCATCCTAAACTAGTCAATTGGAAGACTCTATAAGATTAGAGAAAAGCAGCAAAGTTAAGTCGATGACACGAATCCTCATGAAAACCGTGCTGGATCGACATCCCATCATGAATTCACCTACTTGACGAGCCTTGAGATTAAACACAAAAAAAGATAAGATGATTGATATCGACATTTGCAAACAAACCATTATAATCAATTCGCTTAATTGAAATCTTATGCCAGGAGAAAATGTAAAGGGTATGATCAATTTTAACCAGAGTATCATGAAATATCAACCTGTAATAACAAGATTAATGAATAATCGAGAAATAATATGTAATTTAGAATTGCTTACCTTTAATAGTCTAGAATTTTGATTTTTTTCATTATCAAAAACATGTATAAAATCTAAAGAAAAGTATTAAATAAATGATGGAGAATTTGATCAAGTCAAATATATCTTTTTTTGTGTTTTTCATTAATAAACTAAGTGATAGTTGTGCAAATTTTGTTTCCAGCTAGTGAAGATTTGCCATTAGCCCGGCACACTAGCAACATTTTATTATTATTATTATATAATCGTTTAGAAAAATTAATCTAACTAAAAAAGGTATAAACAAAGCAACCGATTAAAATCTGGATCTCATTGTTCTTATAATTATAAAACTTTTATTACATTACTTGTAATTTCTTGCAGGCTACACCCAACTTACGACTCTCTTAATGTCAGAACATTTACAAAAAAAACAAAAGCAAGCTATAGTCAATAATTCCCTTCGTAAAGAAATATGTGAATACACAAAAAATCATCATGGCATAAAACATCATAATATTGTCACTTATTTTAATAATAAATATCCAGAACTTAATATTGCCCACCCAACTATTTCGAAGATAGTAAAAGATAGTGCAAAATGGTTAATGGTTGAGACTAATGAAATGTCTGTCCAACATAAAGCTATAAAATTTCCATTGCTAGAACAAGCTTTAAGCTATTGGGTAGAACAAGTAACCACAGCTACTGTTGAGTTCAATGAACACTTAATTAAGAAAAAAAGAAAAGAATTTGTCAAGCTTCTCAGCATGCATGAGAATGAGATGCAATTTTCAAATGGATGGATTCAAAAATTTAAAAAAAGAAATCAACTTCGCGTATATAGGCTTTATGGTGAAGCAGGTAATATGTCAATTGAATGTCTATCAGAAGCACGAAGAAAGTTAAAAGAAATTATTTCACAATTCAATTCTGATGATGTATATAATACCGATGAAACGGGTTTATTTTTTCGTATGACATCAAATCAAACACTTACAAAATGTCGAAATGCTGGAAAAAAATTGATATAGTATACATTATTAAGTTTTATATATATAAATAATATAATGTTTTAATTAACAAATTTTTATAGGATAAATCTCACATTACAATTCTTCTTGCTGTAAATTTGACCGGTTCACACAAATTATGACCTTTAGTAATTGGACATGCAAAAAATCCTAGATGCTTTAAAGGAATAAATATTTCAAACTTACCTGTTATCTACAAATTTAATTCTAAAGCATGGATGCGTTCAGATATATGGGAATTATAGTTAAGTTATATTAATAAAGGATTTTGTATTCAAAATCGGCATATACTTCTTTTAATTGATAATGTGACTTCTCATCGAATGGAATTAGGTGAAAATTCACTTGAATTAATTAATATTACTTTATATTATCTTCCACCTAATACAACATCATATCTCCAACCCATGGATACCGATATTATCAAATCATTTAAAACAAAATACAAACAATTATATTGTCAACATGTATTGCATCAATTCAAAAAAAATATTGATATCGAACAGTTAAGTATATATTTTATATATTAATACAATATTATTATATAGTCTATAATATAATAATATAATCCAATTGTATTTTATTTTAGAAACAAATTAAATATAAAACAAGCAATCGATTATATCACTCAATCATGATTTGAAGTAATATCTATAACAGTGCAAAACTGTTGGTGAAAAACAGATATTTGTTACAATATTCAAGAATCTGAAATTCAAGAACTTGAAATACCAATAATTACAGAAATACTTGATGAACTGCCGGTGAATGCACAAACTCTTGTTTAAAATCTTGATGATTATATTATTGTGATAGATGAACCAATTGCAACTGAAGATATTCTTGAAGATAATGAAATTGTAGAAATGGTTTTAGCAGATGCAGAAATTGAAGCTGAAATAATTGAAGACTCTGAAGAGGAATTAGAAGAATCCCCTTCAACTTTAATTACAATTATTGAAGCATACGAAGCATTACAAAAAGTTATAAGATTTGAAGAACAGTTGAAAGAAAAAAACTTTAATATAAAAAAATTACAATTATTTAGAAAAAGGTTATATAATTATAAAAAAATGTATAAAAATTCAAAAAAACAAATATCGCTTGACAAATATTTTATTAATAATATTAGTATTTAATTAATTAATAAATATAAAATATATTATCTTAGTTCCTTAAAAAAAAAAAAATAAAAATAAAATAAAATAAATAAATATAAAATATATAGTAATTGTTATATAATTTTAAATAACTCTATAAAGTAACACCTCTATAATAGAATATAATTTGACTGTCCCAATAATGTTCTTTTATAGAGGATTAATGTATTATCAATTTAATAAAAAATTATTTAAATTAAATATAAATATAAAAAATATATAAATATACAGTGTGTTACAAAAGTTTTTAGACTAATATTTTTTAATTTTTTAAAAACTAAGTATAATTATATATAGTTTTTATTGTTTTTATTATTTATTTTTTTTTATTTTATTTTATTTTTTCCCAAGCAATCAATGCAGGACTTTTTAACTGACTTCTTAGCCTCCTAATGTTTCTTCAGGGTGCAGGGACGATTTTTATTAGATCTTACATACTCGTTTGCAGCCTAAGCCTTTAAATATAAATGTTGGGGATAAAGAATTTGCTATATCAAAGCAAACGTTCCTTGTCTGCCAGGATAATCTTTGCCAGCAGCCACCTACTACTGTTTTTCAACCATTCAGTTTAGCCAAGACTTACTAGGATTTAGTCAGTGAGATATTATTGGCGGAATGAGGGTACACCAGTACATCAAATTTGTCTGGAAATCGGATCCAGCTTCACCCTTCCTAATCTAACCTAGCAACACATGTGGTGGGTTATGTTTTATAGGGTCATGCAATCAACTATCACAAGTGTATCCCTTAGGATAGAACATCCCGTGATACAAGCAACCTCCTGCACCCCTGACTGGATCCTCACTACCATCGGACATGTGAAACTCTTATTGATAGTTGTGTGACTAATAGTTTTAGCCATTTGTATCTTTCTTTCCACTACCAGAAAGATCCCATGAAACTTTTTCCCCCTTTTGGAAGTATTTCCCAGGCAATACTTGATTAGAAAGTTTATCAATCAGATTATTTATCTTTTTGACCTATGGAATATAGTCTACCCATAAGGCTCCCTAATTGCTGGAACAATCCAAATTGCTCTCTATCACAAGTTACAGGGGCAGTAACACAAAGTCCTTTTTGGGATATATGAATTGTCCCCCAGCTGGAGTTGAACTGTGGGTTATATACAGTTTTTATTAATTAATAGGAATTACATATTACAACTATATAAATAATCTATTTAAGTATTAACTAATACTATCTATTTTTCTTAACTCAATTATATAGTATTGAGATTATTTTTTGATGAGTCTGTCATTTCTGTCAACAGGCTCATGTTATATTAAAGGTAAATAAAAAAAGATTTCCTTGAGGCATATATTATTAACTTAATCAATAGTACTTTTTCTAATTCTTCTTTTCCTTTTCTTTCCATTATTCATACTTCTTAAATGACTTTTCCACTTTTCTTATTTCCTGGAGACCCTGGCATTTTGATAAGTATTGAATTCAAATAAGATTTAATTAATTTTTCCCTTTTGGGCAATATTAATTATATAGCTTAAAAAGAAATATTTTAATTTAGGGATAGTTTTTCTTTATTTTATGCTCCTTTTTTTCTAATTTTACTGTTTCTTTTCTAATTATTCTTATTATTGTGTCACAAATTATTCTTATGATTATATTATAGATTATTCTTATAATTATGTTATGAATTATTCTTATGATTATGTTATAGATTATTTTTATAATTATATTATAAATTATTTTTATAATTATATTATAAATTATTTTTATAATTATATTATGAATTATTCTTATAATTATATTGCAAATTATTCTTATAATTATATTATATTCTCCCTTCTACTTTTTATTTATTTATTTATTTTATTACATACCTATTTTTATTATTATGATCTTATTCTTATAATTTACTACTATAGACTATTTTAGACTTATAATAGTTATAGCTTTATTTTTTAAACTTCATATTTATTAAGTTTATTTATAATTGAGGCCTTAATTAGACATGGTATGCAAAAATTGTGTTTCAAAACCTAATCAGCTCAACCTTTATTCCAACAATAGCCTTATATTATAAAAGTAAATCTCCATGTCAAGTGAAATTAAATTAGAAGATAGAAGTCCTGCCACCAGTTTAAACCATTTAATTTGTTAATTTAATTTATTAAAAGATGTTTTTGATAATATATACTGGTGATCGGTAATCTGTTTTTTTACATTATTCCTATTGAAATATAAATCAGTGACTAAAGATATTCAATATGGATATGTACTCCTTAATAAATGCTTTAAAGTAAGTTCATTAATTAGTTTCAGCTATTAAATCCAGGAGCCTGTTTTTGGCCAAGTAGGGCACAATACTTATATCTTCTAATAAATACTTCAAAAATTTTCATTGGCTTAAGTTATTAAATCTAGAGACATACAGTAAATGTCAAGCAATATATAATTCCTATATACCAGTAAGCTGTTGAAAGGTTACTTGGAAAGTTTCTTATATAAGCAATCAATATTGATAATTTCTTTAAAAATAAATTATTTCATATTAACATATTGTACAATGCAATCTGTTATACCAAGAGAGGATATGGGTTTTTTATTGGAGTTAGACCAGAAATCTTTTTTTATATAATCTTTTCTGCTTAATCTTGTTTTTCAATTTATGATTATTAAAAAAACCAGAGATCCTATTTTTATACAACCTAATTAAGTTTAATAAAAATTTAAATGTTTGAGTATAACACTTGTAAAAAAACTGATAAATTTATACAATTTTGCTTCTTGTGAATATTGAGTTAGAGATATGCATTTGGAGATCTGAGAACACTACCTATTATACTATTAACTTACAGGGCTAACTAATATTTTTTAATATAATTTAATAAATAATTATTTAATTTATATAAACTTTAAATATATATTTTTATAACTTAATAATAAAAATATTGTTTTAAATAAAATAAAAAAAAAGGATAAAAAAAAAAACTCTTTCCCACTCCCCCTCTATGCTTGAAAATTTCCTTTTTAGGAAACTTTTTGAGTTGTTTATTTTTTTTCGCTTTCTCTCTCCCCTTCTCCTTCTTTGATTACAAATCTTTTATTTCCCTCTCCTTTCTTTTTCCCTTTTCTTCTGTCTTCCTTTTTTATACTTTCCCCCTCCCCTTCTCTTTTTTCCCCTCCTTCTTGCTGAAGTTAAGTTTTTCCTTCTCCTTGAAGTTTTTCCTCTCTAGGCCTCTCCTTCTTTTCAAAAATACTGTGTTCCATCTCATTACTCCTTTGGCCAGTCGACTCCATTTTCTCAAAAACCATATAAGAAGCGGCAACCTTATCCAAGAAGTGGGCTTTAACAAGTTTCTCTCTTTCAGGATTTTTTAGAAAAAGGACGGATGGTTTACCCTCTCCAAAAGATTGGCATGTCTATCATTATCAAATCCGGTATTGTTTATTTGTTGATGGCTAGATTAGATACATCTAAGAAACCGGTGCACACTATTATTGGCTGAATCTCTAGGTGCTGCACCTTATGGAAATTTAATAGAACAATATATAAAGACCAGGGATTCTAGTTACTCCCGCAAACAGAGCTGGTGATATCAATCGCTCACTCCTTAACAATGCAGGTCTTTTGTGCAAGGTTAGGTAATGATGCCTATAAGAAAATCCAATTTAACTTTATCCATTGGATATTTCTGCCACACTTGAATAGTAGATATGCCAAATCCTTTTTATAACTTGGAGGCCAACCTGCATAAAGTGGCTGCAGCACCTTCATGCATTAAGGTAGCAATTATGAACCAAATCTGGCGATAAATGCCACCATTGACTCCTCTTGCCATACATTAAGTCATATTTGGAAAGCAAGGGTGCTAATCCTACTCATGACTTGGAGACTAACCTGTGAAATATGGCTGCAGTGCCTTTATGTGTTTAGGTAATCAAACCAACTCTAGGAAACTAGATGTTACCTAAAATGTTTATATAGGTTTTAAATTTTATTTTACTATGTCTTGGGAGTGCCCAGAGTACAGATGGAGAGCCACTGAGCCTGGCGTTTAACTCTACTATATTTAAAGAGACGTATATTTTTCTTGTAAATTGTAATTATTTTAAAGTTATAATAATAAACTGAGAAATCATCATCTTGCTCTTTAAAAAAAAATAAAAATAAAATAAAAAAAAGCAAAAAAATTTTGATTAGGTTTTTATATATAAATTTATATATAAATTATAAACAAAAACTATAATATTTTAAATAAATCATTTTGAAAAAATAATTAAAACTCAAAAAAATTATTTTATAATTCTATTAATATTTGTTTAAAAAATTTATATATTAATTAACTTTAATAATAATTTTTTTATTTTTAATATTTTATTTATAGTTTAATTGTTTAAAAAATTTTGTTATAATTTTTTTATTTTTTTATTATTAGAATATAAAAAATATACTTTATATTTAAAGTTTTATATAAAAATTTTTTTAAAATGTTAAGTAAAGTATATTTTATGATTTTTATTAATTGAATAAGAATTTGTTATATAATTAATATTTAAATTTTGAAATATATTACTATATATTGTATATCAGCCTACCATTATATAAATATATTTTGTAGAAAAACTTTTTATGAAAAAAAAAACAAAAGAAACTATCTAAACCATAATTAGCTTATTTTTTCCAAAAAATCGATACAAGATAATCATGCCATATTGAGAACAAGACCTCTAATATGGAAAAGACCCATAGGTTGTACTACAACAATAACTGATTCCCAGGCCTAGCATATTCAAAACCTAATTCTCCTAACTACTTCAAACAATTCCTGTTTTTTTTTCTAACAAGCACATATACTAATTTATAATATAACTAGTAGCTAGCCATTATTTACCCTTTCTTTTTCTCCACATGGATTTTCAGAGTTTGTATATATCACCTTATATTGTCACAATAAGTTACAATTAATTTACAGTAAAGATTGTTAATGTAATGACAGTAAACAAAAGTTTAATAAAATCCCACATTTAATACCTGTTAGTGATTAAAAAAAAAAAGGAACTATCTATGTTTGGAAGGCTAATGCCTACTTTTAGTAATTTATTATAAATAGGTTTTTAGAAAATGTTTTAGTGATGATATTAAGAAGTTTATTTGGGTTAGAGTTGATTTATTAGTATATACTGTATATTTTTTTTTCGTAAGCTAGTGATCAATGGTTACGACATTTAGTTACGACATTAATCACGGGAGTTTCAAACTCACGAGACCGCTATTATTAAAAGCTTGATCATAAAAAAAAAAAAAAAAAAAACAAATCTTGTCTTTATTAAAGAAATGCCTGACACTGAAGCAAAAACTAAATTCGAAACCAGACGGCAATCGGTAAAGGAAGGGGGAAGGTTAGAACAGCATTTAAATGATGCTGGCGAAAAATTTATCGGAACTGTTAAGGTAATTTCTGAAGATTGATTGTATGCGACCGTCGACCGTCTCACAACGTTTTGTTCTCTATACTTCTTTTTTAATGGTAGCATGGCATAGACACAGTTCTTCATCCTTCATCCAGATCGAAGAAGGGAGCTATTAATAATCATACGTCCAATATTATTCGTGAACTTTCGGAGACTGAACAGGTACAATACAATACAATACCGTCGCTTTATAACTATACGGAAGAAAATATTAATTACTTTGAACTTAAAGGAGCTCTTATTGGTTGTTACGCATTCTGAGTATTGATTTGGATACACACTCGATCTCATAACGTGTTGATGTTCTTGACAAGCAATGTTGACTGAAATAACTAACTCACTTTTGTGACATGCGTATAAGAATTTTATCGTAATTCAATACTGTAGATAAAATTTAAACGTGACTCAGCCATAAGCAAATTTTGCAAATGCTTGAAGAAAACGGTTTCCTTTTCATTAAAAGAACTGTTTGTTGTACGAAATTATTATATCCATGAGATTCGGAATTCAGTTACCGCAATAATAGTTAGTGTCCTTGCCCGATAACGTGTATTTATAACATACCATATACAGTATATTATTTGAAATTGACACTTATCGAATAAACAAGCAAATGCATATCGCATAAAATAATAATTTTGAAATCCCGCTATAATATTTAATAAGAAAAAATTTAATAAGGAAAATGAAAATTCGAAATTACAAAATATGTTAAATTGATACGGTATGATAAAATCTATTCCCTTGTACAAATTTTCTTACTATTATTCTCCTCTTTTATTTGCAATGACTGTTGCCACTCATCCCTATCGTGTTTTTTGGAAATAATCTCGGATCTACCATATGTGAAATGTAAGTTCGTTACCACGTATGTTTAAAATTATCAGAAATAAAATTTTTATCGTAATTTTAAAAACTTACTTGACTCTCACGCCTTCAAAATCAAAAGGGATGTCACCTAATTAATTAACAAAAAAAATTTTTTAAAGTTTTCATAAAAAGATTTTGACAGCGCAATGCATGATACTGAATTTTAGTTATTTACCACCGCTCGAATCGAATAAACTCATGCGAGATTTAATCGTGGTTATCAATGGGGTTAATATACTACTAGTATAATTGGCATTAGGGTGTTCCTTCCCGGAGTCTTTTACAAAAGGAATTCCTAATTCGATCATCTGCTTGCGTTTTTCCTCTGCCTTTTCAATCATTGCTGTATATTCTTGTTTTTTAAAATAATAATAATCGATAATATTACTTGACTGTTCATGCAGATGCTTGATAGTTGGGCGCTGAGAAGGATTAGAATGCCAGCATTGTTGCATTAGATTAGACCAGCATTCGGGGGTATCTTCGGTGATCGCAGGACGCAATCCATTACAAATATCAATTGCAAGATGGAAATCATGTGCTCGGTTATGAAATGGTCGGTGACCTGATGTTATTTGATACATGATCATTCCCACGCTGTACATATCTGAGGCGTAAGAAAAAGGCTTTCCTAGTAAAATTTCCGGGGCAGTGTATGGTATTACTCCATATACATTTTTTGATTTTAATGATTTCCCTAATTCGGCAGCAGGAAGGCTAAATCCTAAATCGGAAATTCTTGAACGTATACTCCTATGTTCTTTACCTAATAATATATTACCACTATGTAAATCACGATGGATAATCTGATTATCATGAATTTTCTTAATTCCTTCTACAATATATTGTAAGTGCCTAAATTTAAGATCCCAACTAATTTTAGTAAAATTTTTAATTAGATAATTATGTAAATCGCCATTTTCAGCATACTCCATAACAATGATGTAATTCTTGGATATTGGATCTCGTGAAGCTCCAAAAATTCTAACGACACCAATTCTATTTTCTCTGCAATCGTATGTATGTTTAAACTAAAGAGATAATATTAAATATTAGTTGATTAATATTATAGGTTTATATTATTTTATATTTTGACTAGAGATATTGTTAGGATGTTACCTCTCTTAAAAATTCCAAATCAGCTTCACTCGAGTCATTAAGAATCTTCAATGCAACATTTTTTTTAGTTACTTTTTCTACATCTCCCTTTTCTTCATCATAAATTACTCTCTTCTTATTCCAAGTTGCTTTGAATATTTTACTGAAACCGCCTTGACCTATTTTTTTGATTATTTTAAAATCACCATAAGGAATCCATCGTAATTTCATGCCATTCGCTAATGTCCTTCTAATAAAATCGTCGACATCTTTGATACCACTACTGACTTTTAGAAATCGATCATTATAGCAAAATTGGCAGATATTGGGATTTTCTACCATACACATTCTCCTTTTTCCGCATTTCGTACATTTTCCGTATTTCTTTCCATTTCTTCTTCTGTTAATGGAATTCGTAACTTTTGCGGAAGAAACCAACGTTAATTGATTGTTATTAAATGCCGAATATTCTGAGGAGTCATTGTTATTAGAATTTAAAATTAGATTTGGATCCATGATTTCTGATATTTGGGATTTTCCGATTATCAAACCATATTGCGTTTTTATAGCAATTATGAGATAAATGGCTTTCTAAATGGACGCACCCTCTATCTAAAAAATTAAAATTCCTGGTATAATCGCATTATCATGCATATTATTTAAGGAATTACCGCAATGAGTCAAAACTCTACGAATGGTTAAAATATAGAATCGATATGAACATATTTGTTCTCCCATTTCGAAAAAAATAATTACAGTACATAATGAAGCCGTTAAGGAAGGCAATTTAGTGTTGTACGAAATTTGGTTGTTTAAGAAAGTAACGTGTAAAGTTACAGAACAAAGGTCATTCGAGAAATGTGTTAAAATGAAATTTAAATGGATCGTGTCAATAAAAACTTTTAGAATGAAAGTCAATTTAGCTTGCTGGTTAAGAAGCATAAGAATACAAATTACTGCACTCGTTATTAGCTGGACATAACTAAAAAAAGTTAAATGCAGACATTAAAGTGCCATTTTTACAAATATAAATTTAATAAAAATAACGTGATTTTTACAATCACGACATGCCAAAACGTCCAATTCAAAGACCATATTGTATTTCAACAGAAAAGTTCTTACATTTATTTGTTTTCTTATCAAATTTTATTAAATTTTATATTTAAAATTTTACGTGTTCTTCAATATACATAAAAAAAATAATAATTAATATTATAGGAATTAAGAAAAAGACTAAATTTAATTATAACATAATATTTTAAAATATAATTTTTAGTTAAATTATTTTTTTATTTTAACAATAATAAGAAATAACAAATAGGTTCGATTTTAGTTCGATGTTAATTTTTTTAAAAAATTTATTTTGTCATTAAATCACACTGATAAACAAAAAAACGTATATGGTTAAACTGGAATTAATCATCAATTTATAAAATTTAATAATACTTTAAAATAACATATATTTTTTAAACACTTTTTCAATTAAATCTGCATATATTTCATATTTAATTTACTTAATATATACAGTATATACAGTATATATTGTAAGAGGGACCAAAAAAAATTAGATAGATTCAACATATGTCATCCTCGCCCAATTGGGGTTTAATTGGGGCTTGAGGGATTTTTGGGAT